TTACTAGATCAGAGTCATGAGACGCACGTGTATTCTAGGAAAAATTCTTTGAAAAATCTAGGCCTACCGTCCAAGCAAAATCTTGGGATCCATGTGTAGAATGAAAAACCAAACTTCCTTCAAATCAAGACAATCTAGACATCTTTTTACAAAACGAACTTCAGTATCAGATTCTTCCTCTACTCGAAGCCGATTGAAAAATGCTCAACAAAATGTATATCTGATGAGGAGTTCCCGAGGCACAAGTAGGTAAAAGCAAAGTTCTCATCCTGCAAGTGATGAAATCTAGGTAAGCTAGCCCCTAATTACGTCCCGACATGAAAAAATATCCTATCTCTATTTAAAAATAGACTGGATTTAATATTGATATAGCAAGTTGTATAAAGTATTTCCAAAAACACACTTAGATCCGTTTCAAGCAAAATTTGAAGTCAAAATCTGAAAACATTTCATTGCACCAAATCGGCTCTGTGCTCAAGAGGTGTACAAGCTTCCCACTACTCGCATATTGAACTCAGTTTGTTATGTACTTGCCGCCGTAATTACTGTGACCAGAAATCAAGAGCAAAGACTCGCATAAAATGGCTAACTCTGCCCTACAAACTGCTAACCAATCTATACCTTGTATCCCCTGATTCCTAAGAGATACAGTTTTAACAGGCAATTTGCACCGATATTACTCGACACCTAAAAGTTTCTTCAAGACTGATTCAAAAACCACACAGACTAGTTCTTTCCTTCCATAAGACCATCAGTTTTTTTTCTAGGCTCCCTGCCACAATTCTCGCTGCTCGCAGAGGGTAAGTATGATTCAGATGTCTGTCAACAGAGAGGGAGAAAAAACGAGATAAAACCAAAGTTCACAGGCCGCGAATGCGTCGACTGTTGATGCATGTTTGTTTGCGAATGTGTGGCGATGGCTCTAGCGCACAGATTTCGTTTGAAACTCCGCACATGTCAAGCCAGGCTTTACAGATAGTTTACATAACACAACGGTGATGATGAAGAGTCAAACTGAAAATTACGAAATTCATGCGTTGACTGCTTTAATTTTTTCTTGATCCTTAGTCGAATTATTATTTTTCAACGGCAAACTGAAGTATAGAAATTTCTGCTACAAACTATCCCTTGACCTCTGACCTCGCGAGAAAACTGTTTATACCGTAAGCTCACCATACGCGTTTTTGGCGAGAAGATAGCTGCAGATATAGCAAAACAGTGTTTGCCACTCACCGTGTTGGTAGAGATACGCGCTTAAGAGGGATTGTCCGTAGGCTTTATAACCGTCGCCTAGAATGTTCTCCATTCCACCGTAACTAGCCGTAGGTTTTGGTAGATCAGACGGCGGACTGATGGATGACTGTGATGGGCTCGGAGATGTTTCGCCACTTCCCGAACATGCGGTATCTTCTCGCGTTGTCGGTGTTTCTCGAACAGCAGCTTCGCTTGTTTTTTGCCGATTTCCGCCACGATTCGGAGCTCGGTTGCGTCTGCGAAGTGTTTGTTTATCGCTAAGTTCCGGCACTACCGTCCAGAAATGCCCTGAAACAAGGGAGATATCTTGCGTCGTGCTTATAAGAAGAGTTTATGCCAACAAACTAAATCACCAGTATTCGAAGAGATGTAATCGCCCTTTATTTTGAAAGCAGAAATAAGTTCTTTTTATCCTGTGGAGCGATCAAGTCTTATTCTAACAATGATGAGCACTTTTCCAAAAAAACCGCGCATCACTACCTCTCGAACTCAGTGATTTGGATTGATTCATCGAGAATATCTACAAAATCTTAGAGACACTTCTATAGGGAAGGCGAATCCAAACTACCGCATGTTACAACCGCTCAACTAATGACGGACCGATGAGGAGGGAGGGGAGGTCACATTTCGTAACAAGTTCACATTAACTGTAAGACTGTGCAAACTTCTTTTGAAAATTTCAGAAACACCTACGGATTTTGCACAAGATTTTGGGCTTGTTGATCCGGGAGGTGTCCCAAAACTATTTGGAAAGTGGCGCGTAGCCCTCAATTTGAGAAAAAAATTCCTTGGCGCAATAAGGCACTCATGATTTGAATCATACTAGAAAATCTTACCTACAACACCGCTAGCAGACGTTTGTTTGAGCGGCAACTTGACAAAACAATCGTGAAGAGAAAGGTTATGACGTATTGAATTTTGCCAACCCCACTGATCGGGACGGTGACGGTAGTATGGATGAAGTAGTCGTATAACCTGAACAAATGAAGTTGATGGAAGTAGCAGCAAGACAAACAGTAAAAATGGTCTGCATACGATGAACTAATTCATATGTTGTGGTTAAGACGTTGTATGCTCTGCTCAGAATTTCGCTACAAATTGACATAGAAGGAAATAAAAGTACTTGGCATCAGATGAGATAAAGGTACAAATAGCTTGGGCATGTCAGATTTGACCTATATCACTACTGGAAGTGAAACTGGATATAGGTAAAGTGTGGCTACGGAATGTACTTTGTCTTTGTCTAAAATAATGCATTTTGGTATGTTCGGAGGGTTTTGTAGATCACACGGATTTGTAATCATGAAAGAAGTATCACATTTTCGCGTACTCACTACAACGGTCACACTGAGCTTGTA